ACTCATTTGTGCTTTATATTTATCTTTTTACAATAATTATTATCATGATTTCATCATTGCTTATTTAATTTTAAGCCGCCCAAAATTGCTAGCAAGTAAAGGGTTTTGGGATTGTCTTTCTGTATTTTTTTGACCCTATTTTTGTAAAATTTGTAAATAATAAAAAAATAAATAAATAAAGGAAAAAATCGAGGGGTAACATAATATATTTAATTTTTTTTATAAAAAAGTATGTTTTAAAAATCATATGTGTGTGGGGACTTTTAAGTGAATAGTTGTAAAAAAATTTTTTCCCAATTTTTAATTATAATTAAAGAAATGGGGATTACCAGATTTCTGTCAATAAACGGATGCCTCTTTCGATCGACTTCAAACTTCAGAAATTTGTGTTATTTTCGAGGAAGGTTTGCATTATTATTACCAGGAAAATATTGGGTTTTGGGAAAAGGACAGTGCAACTAAGCGACATGTTGTGGGAACTTTTCCTTAGGATTTTTTGTCAACAAAACTCCGGAGAGTAAAACTTTCCCACAAAATTCGCATGAGCTGCACGTATCCTTTTTTCCTAAAAATTGTCGGTTTTTTTCCCAAACATTATTACAATAAGTTTTTTTTTTATATATAAAAATCAGGTTTGTTTCTTTGAGGTGAGAAGAGGCTATACTCTCTAAAATTATTTTTCCTTTTCAGTGATGGTTTTGTGCAGCTCTTTGACATCGCTGATACTGTCCTTCAGTCTGTATTTTCAGGTTTGTGTTGAGTTCGGGTTTGTTGGCTTCTGGGGGTGTTCATCAGGAGGTTTAGGCCGTTTTACAGTGTTAAGCTAATGTACTAGGCTTTATTGATTTTTAAACCCTAAAGTTCCGGGGCCCTTTTTGGAAGACGTTAATCTCCAGCTTCGGGCCCCCTTGGGGGAGGATTAAGCACGGGTTTTTTGGGGGAGTTGAATGCAGCCCCTTTGGGCCTATTAAGGGTTTTGTGTATCCTGTTTTCCCAAGTTGTACTTAAATTGAAGGTTTTGGTGGAGGGGATATTTTTCTGGGGACTTAGGCTGAAACTTACTTATTATCAATATTATTACACTTGCAACCATTGCAGGGAGAGAGTTTTGATGTCACTTTCCCCACGTCAGTACCCCTGCGCTGGGAAAGGAGAACTCTTTTGACAAAATGGCCTACTCAGTGTTAAGGAAAAACCACAACATGCTCAAGCTCTGCCAAAACGCTAAATCCCTGAAGTTCTGGTGAAGGGGGAAAGGAAATGTGAAGACTTAAGATTTTTTAATGCCATTTTATTTCTTAGGGGAAAATTTTATTTACAGGGGTTTTAAAAACCAGCTCAGTTAGAACTCTTAACTGGTGGGACCATTCGCCACAAACTGTTCTTAGATTAAAAACCTTTTATGACCCCCCGACCCCCAAATTTTTTTTAAATAAAAAAAGTTACAGTGGTCATGAACTACACCCGTTTATATTGGTTACAATCGTAAAAATTTTGTTTTTTCAGCAGACAAATTAAGTCATAAAATATTACGTTTAGCTGGTATGTGGTTTTGAATTTTTATATCTTTATTTTTTTTAGCAAGATTGGTTGAATTTAACAAAATAAGTGGCTAGAGTTATTTACAATAGGGAATTCCCTTTTGGAAAAAATGCCCAGTCGGGTATTTTTCCCGGGTGGACTTGCTCATTGTAAATAACTCTAAAAGCGCTAGATGGGGTTCCCTTTTGGGTCCCTTTCTATCTATAAAATTTTAAAGAACATATCGCTGTTCAAGAAATTTCGAATTATTTTCCACAGTAGCTTTTTCAAAAATATTTTGAAAAAAATACTTTGATTTTGTCCTATTGTAAAAATTTACACCCCTTAAGATTGCGGGAAATAAAAAAATATGAATAATTTAAAAGTAACATAAACTAATTTTAAATTTTTGGGGGTGAAATTATGTCTGTATTACAACCATCAGACCCAAAAACGTATAAGTAGTTCATTCCCCTGTAACTTTCTTTTTCATTTCAGGGGGACTCAGTCCCTGGGCCATCATGTGCCCCAGTGTTTTATTTATGGGCTTTATATTTTGATGAAACTAAACATTTCAAAGAATTTTCTTGAAGATATGAAGTCACCTGCCCGTTTAACCATTGTACAGAAATGTAAAGAGAAATGTTTTTAAAACTTCGGAAAAATACCCATTTCAGTAGGTTTTCTGTCTGACGACGAAATAGACAGATCTCTTACTCATGTTTCATATTTGAGAGTTTCTCGCTTTGCATTGCTTATTGTTGACGAAACTTTAACCCGAGCAAAAGCTGCGCTGAGTTGGTTGGTCCCTTCTAACGGGGTACCTCGTTGATAAAGGACTATTAATCCAAGGAATTGGAGCTACCCTCCATTTCTTCAAAGCACTCCTGATTGTATCCTGTTTCGAAGGTGCTGTATAACACCTATAACTTTAATGCATTCCATAAATACATTAATGGATTTGTTTCATTGAGTTATCTACGTTAAGTAAATATTGATTTCCCACAGGTGAATGCCTATAACAATTATAATCTTATTTTACATTTTCAGCCTCCTTCAAGGGGGGCATCTGGCATTAGTGAAGAGCTCTTGGTCTGAGGTATTTGACCTTTGGGTCTCCTTCTTCAGACGAATCTAATTACCCCAATTCCCCCTTCCCTATTCCATTCCCTCCCCATCCCTCTTTATTTTCCTCCTTCTCCTCCAGTACCTGAAGACAACTTGTCACAGCCGCTGAACCTTCTTAAACCCTTGCGCATCTTTCATGGGAAGCCTGACGCCGAACCCTCTTCGCCTAATTCCTCCCTATTTCATCGAAGCTTTATTATGGTGACCAGCTCTATTCAGCGGCATCTCCTGCCTACTCTCCTAGCCTTAACCCCATTCATCACCAAGGATTACATTTATGCCTTCGGTGATTTTTCGCTCTTTCCCTGTTGAGAGCCTCTATGCTGAAGCGGAAATCGTTCCATCCTTATCGGATTGCCGTGATGCCCCATTGCTGCGCTACTATGTACGCTCTCATGATCTCCGCAATCTTCCATTTATAGAATGGTCACTGATATTAGTAGACATTTCTTTATTTGTTCGCTGCCCCTGTTTAATCCGTCCTTCTCTCTTCGCCTCATTCGCTCTTGTCTTCTCTTCATTTACTCCTTTCTATGTTCATGTAGTCATCTCACTTTTCCCGACACCCCTGGGAATAAAAAAGTTTACCCAAAGGGCTGTTCGAGTCTGTTCTTTCTCTCTCCCTTGCTCGAAGTCCCAACTGTCTACGGTCGCTTCCCGCTCTCTTTTTCTTGGACCACTTCCACTTTCATTCTCATGCAGTGCTGTGTACACAGATGGCTCTAAGTTTCTGGACGGCGTAGGATTCACAGCAGTGTTTCCGGGACAGCGTCTACGACGGGGCATTTACTATCTTCGGCTAGTTTTTTTTCTGCTGAAATTGTATGCATCCTTGCAGCACTTATCCGTATTGCTCTATGCCTGTGTCATCATTTGGGTTGTCTCAGATCCCTTAGTGCTTTAAGGCTATACAAAATTTTGGTACACCTCCCCCCTTTTCCCCCGCATCTTTCCCAAAGCATAAAGATTTTGTTTTTGTTGGGTCCCTGGTCTGTTGAGTACGGGCAATAAACAGGCAGACACATGCCGTCGCGTACATGACCTACCAGTTTAAATTTAAGGTTTCCATTTATGGCTATTTGTGCAATACTTCACCCCCTTTGGCAAAACGTTGGTCTACTATGTCGGTAAAAAATTAATCCATTAAACCGAGTTAGGTTACTGGCCGTTTCTTATCCCCAGGCGAGGTTTGGGGAGTGACTCTCTCTGTCTTCGCATTAGCCCTACTCGTCTTACCATGGATATTCTGGGAGGCGCCCTGTCCTCTGTGAGAATTCCAGGCTCCTTTCGTCCCCCCAATTCTTTTGGCTGCTACTTTATAAACGAGACGCAAATTTACCCTGTCATTGTTTCGCCGTGCTCTCTCTTTACCTTCCCTTCTGTGATGGACTCGCCTTCATTCGGACTCTTCATGGACTTTTTGACAACCCTGACTTCAAAAATTCGAACCCTTCACCCCTTTCTCCCCAATCTCTTGCTCCCTCCCCCCCGTACTATCCCCTCCCCCGCTGTTTTCTGTAACCTATGTACCCCCCCCCCTTCTCCCGCCAATCCCCTCGTTCCCTTCCCTACCTGCAGCGCTGTTAGCCCTTGTGGTTTAGGTTCTTTTTGTTTAATAAAAATTTCTCCCCATCCCTTCCCTATCCCCTTCCGTTTTCGCTTTGGGATTTTCGCAAGGAAATTAGTTCCTAGGTGGGGGAAGGCTACCGTGGTCCTTTCCCTTCCGTTGAGGTCCCTGGGAGTGGGGGTGTAGTTTTTTCCTGGATGGGGTCCCTGGGGAGTTTCCCCTCCCCCTCCCGGGCTCCCGGGGGGGGGGGGTTTTCTTTTGGGTGTGGTGTATCTCTGGGAAATGCCTTTTGGATTCCAAGGGGTGGTGATGAAGGAGGTTTTGCTTTTGTTGCGGTATCGGGTGCCCTCTCTTTTGCCCCGAGGCGGCTCGGTAGAGTGAGGTTGTGTCCCGGTTTCGGTTTACTGGGATGGGGAGGGTATGGCTGGGTTTATGCTGCATCGCCTATTGCAGCTGGGGTCCTCTTGGGCGCAGAGGGGGATTTACGGGGCCCTTTATTCTTCCTAGGGGCCATTCCCCCAGTTCATCCTTCTTTTTTTTTCTTTTTTTTTTTTTTTCTAAAAGCAAAAAGAAAAGTGACTAACCGGAGTCACGTCATGAAAAAGCTCCCCGGACCCCTTTCTGACAGAACTTGTTCCGACCCCACCTCGTTATTTGACCACTCTTCGGACATTTTTCATGCCCCTGTACCTCATGCTGGTGCCATTTCGTCACCCGCTCGAGGTACCTGGGTTCGCCTAACTCTACTGATACATCTGACTTCTACACTTCTTTAACCCTCCAGGTAACCATGCTTCCGGCTTCTCCCTCAATGGTGCGGCGATTTTCGGATTGCCCGCCCAGCCCACGTCGGACCAACTCCGGTCCCGCACCTAAACCCCCAAGATCATTACCTGATGATACTACTCCTCTTCTCATTCTGCCCAGAAAAGACCGGACAGGAAAAGGACACTGGCTGCAGATCATTCTTACTACTTGCTACTCTTGGTCTGGATTATAAAAAAAAATCTCCTGTGCTTGATACTGCAACACGTTGTCCCAGTAAAAGCTTGTTTTCCAGCTAGTCTTTATTTTTACCATGTGGATCCTTCTTAAAAGTGCTCCAACCACTGATCTAGGAGCTGCACAAGTGTGTCAGGAAAATGTTGCTGCGTTCACCACTGATAAGAATGAGTCCATTTTGGTCAAATTCTTTCACTCTTGTAAAAATCAACCACAACACTGATGAAAAAACCACTGTTTTGACTGAATGTTACAGAGCCTACCACATCACATGATGGGATATGACGGCATATGATGGTATATGTCGGTATATGATGGTACGTGATGGTATATAAGAACATAAGAAAGAAGGAAGACTGCAGCAGGCCTACTGACCCATGCGAAGCAGGTCCAAGTGAACCCCCTAGAAGTTGGAAGTGCTCCTTCCTTTAGTGGAAGGGACCTAGTCAGGTCACTTCCATTTAAGGAAGGAGCACAGCATCAGACCTAGTAGAACAAGCTAGTCAGGTCCAACTCGCACCCACCCACACCCATCGTGTATTTATCTAACCTATTTTTAAAATTGCACAATGTTTTCGCTTCTATGACGGTACTCGGGAGTTTGATCCATCATCCACAATCTTTATTCCCAAAAAATGTTTTCCCTATACCCTTCCTGAATCTAAATTTTTTCCGACTTGAAACCATTGCACAGTAACAGCCTGGTTGATCGGGCTCTGACCACCATGAGGCCTGGTCAAGCCCGGCCGGGGGGCGTTGACCCGGAACCTCTCCAGGAAAAACCCGGTATTGTTCAGTCCTGCTTGGCGGGAAATTTTTCAGATGCTATTTACAGTGATTGTGTATGGGGCATATGAATATGGTTATGAGGGTAATAATATATGTTTTTTTGAGGTATTTTAAGAAAATTGGGAAGGAAAAATGATGTCCTTTTGACCATTGTTGAAATATTTGGTCCTGGGAAACTTTGGGCACTCCAATGGGCACAGGTCTGAAACGTTTTATTCAAATGTCATAAGTTTAATCCATTTTTGTGCCTTTTTCAAAAAAAAAGACCTCAAATTTTCGACAAAAAAAAAAATATCTAAAATAGCCCCTTTTCTTTTCGAATAATTTTATTACAAGGTAATTAATTCATAAAAAAAAAAGGTTTAATAATATGTTTTTTTTTAGCAATACATCCAGAAGTTTTTTTTTAAACAAATTTAAATCTACACGTTATGATGGGGGTAAAATAATACTGGTTTCCTGTTCTCAACATATCCGTTATGTATGATAACTATGTAACTGTATTTGTGTTACCTGAATAAACTTTTTCTTCTTTTTAATTCAACTTTTTAACCAATTGACCCAATAGTGGTAAAAAGGCAAAACGGAAGCTGCCCTAGGAAGACTCTGTTTTTCCCAAGGCCAGTACTCGCCCCTTCCTGTTCCTCTTCTCATATCAGACGACACAGAGGCCCCCCCACTGGGAACCCGGGAAATCTCCAAAAAATGTAAACCAAATTTTCCAATGGGCAACGGAAACAATATGAGTTTAAAGATGACAAATTTTTAACTACTCCCTTAAGGAAAACTGAAATAATGTAGAACTGGTATACAAAAACTCTAACACACAATAGAACAGAAAAATAATGTGAAGGCCTGGGAGTGGTGTGTTGAGGATTCACCTTCAAAAATCCCCGCAGTGCCACTATCACATCTGCGAGGAAAACGGGATAGGATGGATAATGAGAACATTCAAGACAAAAGATGCATGAAAAACATTCAAGACAAAAGATGCCAAGCCAATGATGATTCTTTTCAAATCACTTGTTTCTCTTAGGCTGGAATACTGCTGTACTTTTAACATCTCATTCAAGGCAGGTGAAATGCAGATCTAGAGAATGTACAGAGAACCTTTACTGCAAATACAAGTTCCATCAAACACTTTAACTGCTGGGAACGCTTGGAAGCACTTGACTTGTACTCACTGGAGCGCAGGCGAGAGACCCATCATAATCTACACCTGGAAGATCCTGGAGGGATTGGTCCCTAATCACTCCCTTCGAAGGCAAAAGACTTGGCAGGCGATGCAACATACGCCCAGTGAAAAGTAGGGGGGCCATTATTACACTAAGAGAAAACACAGTAAATGTCCGGGGTCCAAGACTGTTCAACAGTCTCCCACCAGCCATAAGGGGAATTACCAAATAGACCCCTGATTGTCTTCAAGAGGGAGCTGGAGAGATACCTTAAGTCAGTGCCGGATCAGCCGGGCTGTGGTTCGTATGTTGGACTATGTGCAGTCAGCAATATCAACCTGGTTGATCAGGCCTTGATCCGCCACGAGGCCTGGTCATGGATCGGGCCGCTGGGGCGTTGATCCCCGGAATACTCTCCAGGTAGGTAGCAGGTAGCAGACTGGTGGACATCGAAGAATGTCAAAAAAAAAAAAATAGGAAATATGCGTGACACTGTATTATAATAAACAGATTTACTTAGGAACACGGGTTTGTGAAATTGATCTTGCAGAGCGCAGGGACCAAAAGCTCATTCATCAGTAAATTAATTAAATACCATACGTCCATACATACACATACGCATTGAAACAACCACATAATTTTTAAGTCCATATTATGCACAGGATTTCTGTCTTGGACAATGAAATGATGAGTAAAATATTGAGTGTAGTGTAATCTTTATTGATACAACGTTTCATCACAAATTTGCTTTATCAAGTACATAAACAACAGAAATTACACCTCATTACATCTGTAAAACACTGCAGCCAGTCTCCTGTCATACTGTAGGAGCTTCGCCTCTTTTAATCCATGAAGTAGTGTTGGATTTTTTTACACCTTAACCTCGTATCGCTTGCAAATTGTACAAAATTGAAATTGACTATTTTGAGAGCATACTATTGGCCAAACTCACCAATTCTATCAGGTATGTAAGTAGTAGTGGGTCAACAGATAATTATCTAAGGATACTAGTATGTGGTGATCCTTTGTGTTTTTTGTTTCTGAGGGATGGGGGATGGGTCGAGAACCTCACTTTGGTTGACGAACGGATGCTTACCCAGTTAATGAGTCATCATCTGATTAAGACCTGTCAAAAACGTCATGTTCCCTGGCCAACAAAACGCTACCTACATAATGGACAGTGACTACAGAGGGACTTGAGGGACCTCAAGGCTCAGTTTATATATATATACTAATATATATATATATATATATATATATATAATATTATATATATATATATATATATATATATTATATATATATATATATATATATATATATTATATATAATATATATATATATATATATATATATATATATATATATATATATATATATATATATATATATATATATATATATATATATATAAAATATAATATATATATATAATATATATATATATATATTATATTATATATATATAATATATATATATTTATAATATATATATATATATTATATATATATATATATATATATTATATATATATTTATATATATATATATATATTATATATATATATAAATAATTATATATAATATATATATTATATTATTATAATATATATATATATTATATTATATATATATATTAAATATTTTTTATATATATTTATATTTTTTTTTATTATATTTATATTAATAATATTTATATTTATATATTATATTTATATATTAAAAATATTTTATAATATATATTTATATATATTTTTATAAAATTATTATATATATATTTAAAATAATATATTTTATTATATATTTTATATATATAATATTGATATATTATATTATAATTTTATATATTTTAATAATATATATAATATTATTATATATATTTTTTATTTAAATATATATATATATATAAATATTATATTTAAAATAATATATATTTATAAAAAATATTAAATAATATATATAATTATATATATACTATTAAAAAATAAAAATATATAAAATATTATAAATAAATAAATATATATATTTTTAAAATATTATAAATATATAAATTATATATAAAATTATTATATATATATATATTATTAATATATAATTATATATAATATTTTATTTAAATATATATATAATATATATTATATATTATATATATTATGTTGCGTTTAAAAACTGTGGGTTTTTAAAGAAACCCTTCGGGAAGACAGTGATGGAGTGAAGAGGTGAAAGTTTTTCTTTTTGGGGCCCCCCTGATATACGTGACATAAACTTCCAAAAGGGAATATGCTGATTTGGGGTCTATTGCCGCAAAAAAATCCAAGAAACTGTGCATCTTGGATTTCTTCTGAGAACGTAGTAAAAGGACATTCTCCCCTTCCTGAGTTAGGTGCCATCAAAATCAGCGTTATACCTCTGATGCCCGGTTTGGGACCGAGGGGAATTTTTTTCCCTGACGGTTTGTTTGACAGCGTCGGTATACGGGGGACGTCGACTTGGCGTGAAATCGTCTTAAAGGGAAGCACAGTTTGCCGGACAATTCGATGGGCAGGCCCCGTCGGGTTTGCCAGGGGTTCATTTGGGGGAGGCTAAATTTTGGTTGAAGCGCCCATTTCGGGGGAAAAGCGTCGCTTTGGTTTGAAGCATCAATTCTGCTTGGGGCATCGATCGGGTGTGTCAGCCAGTCAAAGCAAAAATTCATCACCGTGTCGTATTCTGCGATGATCTCAAAGGGCTGGTGTTGGGTTGGTGTGCGTGGCAAGAATCTTCTTCGACAAAATCTGCCAATTCTAAATTGGCATCGAGTGACGGGGCTCGAACCCCCTTTAGATGAGACAAAACACACGACAGCCCCTTATGAAGAGCCTGTTTCACGCAGTCTATAATGAGAAGGGGTGACTTGACGTGTTTTTGATCATTTTAGTCGTGTTGTTCATCTGCCAGAGTTTTTTAGTATCAGTATAATTATCTGAGTTTTGGTGTGTAAGATTTTCATTGATATTTTTTTTGCCCTTTAGTCTGTTTCAAGTTCTACACTTTTGGGTTTGCGTTTAGAGAAATTTTTGCCTCTATATGAAAAAACCTCAAATGAAAATTTGTGGATTGTCCTCGTAACAGTGTAAATTTTTATATAGGGAAAAACGATCTCATAATTTATTCCTGAGTTCATGAGAATAACTTTCAATTTGAAATTTTTCCGAAGTAACTTTTGGGCATATTCGATTCACTAACAAAGCATTTTAACAAAGTGTGATACAATGACGCGAGACTTCACTGCACACTCCAGGTCAAAACAGGGACGACCCCACCACTGTAAAAAATAGCATTATTACCCAACGGGATAGCAGAGAATCTTTGGACCAATAATACCCGGGAAACCCCACCCCCCCAAGAACAACCAGATTCAGCAGCACATGAGCCAAAGAGAGGACTGGGGAAAAATAGTATCAAAAGAGGAAAAAAAAAATCTTCAAAAAAAAATTCTGAGAGGAGTACATGTGATTCATGAAAATAAAGTTATATTTATATGAATTCATTCCGGACCACCGCCACGGAGATAATCCACCAACCCGGACGTCCTTTTCATCTGGTTTACATATAATATAAAAAAAACATATATATTTATATGTATTTAAGAACCCTTT